TTTTATTCCCTAATTTTTGCTTTATTTTTCCATATTTTTGATAGAATTTCTTCAAGACATTTTTGTAAGTTTTATTGGGTGTGTCATTGCAATTAAGCTTTTTTTGATGGAAACTTGTGTGTAGTTTAGAGGTGGAATGCGAGATGAGAGAAAGGAAGGGAGAGAATAGTCCAAGGCCAAAATTTGAAGGAAAGAAGGATTGGTCGTTAGGAAGGAATTATTTTGGAAGAAAAAAGTATTAGGTGTTGTTTTGTACACTCAATTTAATATTTCATTGGATAGTCAAGAGTTGCGCTATGTGAAATAAAAGAAAAAATTGTATATTTTTATGTATTTATTTGGGCAGAGAAAATTGCCATTGAAAGAGAAGGTGCACATGGATGGGGGAGGATATATTTATTTATTTAAATCCCTTACTCTCATTTCCATCATTTTCAGAAAAAGATTATAATCTTCTGAATCTATAACAAAGTTTTTGAAGAGTTTTTGAGTATTTGGATCATCCAGACAAATCTGTATATTTTTTGGAGTGTCTTTCTTTCTGTGGTTAATATTTTATATTAGGGGTGGGCACGACCGGGTTTAAAACTAAAAATTTTGATATTTCTTGCCAAAAATTAACCGTTTTTAAGAAATTTTAAAAACCGAAAATAGGGGTACTGGCCTTAGTTTATGTTATTTTGAAATTTAATTAAATTTAAAGTTAAATTAAATTTATAAACGCTTAACATCACTTTTCCTTTCAGCCCCCATTTTTTTTTATAAATTTCCAGCTTTTATCTAAAAATTATTTTAAACATAAATTTCAGGCCCTACCGATTATATTTCTTTTTAATTTTACTTTATATTAAATCCACCCTCATTTTGTAATTGTTCTAATTCCACGTAAAATCCAAAATTCCAGTAAAATAACAAAATAATCTAACCAATCCAAATAAAACAAATAATATTTTTAATCCAAAAAATAGTGATGGGTGGCGTAACTACCGCCGGATTAAACTGCGCATTTGCCCATAAATTTTATCTATTACTAAATTTATTTTAGAGGAAATTTATATACAAAGTTGGGATGGCCATAAAATGTACATATTTTTTTATAAAATTTTATATTTTAATTATTAATATTAGAGTTCGGAATTTGGAAAATGCCGTATCCGTTTCGGGATTTATGAATTTTTTATCCGGACCCGATTTTTATCAAAATACCCGGATCGGGACTAATGGATCCTGAAAATCCCGACCTGGATCCGGTCCCGATCCGAACTCTAATTAATATTTTAAAATAATTTGTTTTATGTAATTTTGTTAGTCTAAATTTAGATTAGAGACTTTTAAAAATTAAAAACAAATTTTTTATAAAATTATTGCCAGAATTTTAAATAAATTTTTGCCATTTTTTACCAAACAAGTTTATTTGTTTGTACTTTGAAACAAAAATGGAAGCAAATATTTAATATAAAAAATAAATTAAATAAATATAAAAAAGGTTAAGTGGGTAATCGTTGTATTTATTTATTTATTTACAACAAATAAAGGAAGAAGGGGGAGGATAAGCTATATCTGGGAATGACAAAAATTTTTGGCTTTTCTTTATTAAAAATTCCGACATTATTTTTGTAGCGATAAAGGATGGAATGTCTAAATATATTCCCTCCCCTACTCCTTACATTCCACTTGGATAGTTCTCCTCTAACCGTTCTTTTCCTTTTTGTTATCTACATATTTAAGGTAAGGGGCATATCTTGGGAAATTTTGGAAAAGTCAAGAGTAAAATGAAGAAAAGGAAGAGAAAGTTTAGATATACATATCTCTGGTAATAAAAAAATATATTTCACAAATAGGTAGAGGATATAGAATTTGCTATCTAAAAGTACAATAACCAAAATTCTCGTAGGGTGACTAAAGTAGAACCTCTAAATTTTATAATTCTAGGTAATAATATTTTCACAATTAAAGTTAATGTGTGAAAGTAATTTTATTTTATTAAAATGTTTTCATTTCCAGTTTTTGATATTTTTGCCATATGTCTATTTTCGACACTTTAGAAATTTTTAGAGATGATCTCCCTTTACTCTTTACCTTTCTTTATATAATTGTCAATAAATCCAATCCTTTTTTTAATTTCAAATTCTTGTATTCCTTTTAAAGTCGGTATTCTTTTATTATTTTGTTTGTTTTTATTTTTAGTCTTTTATTAAATGGCAAAATACACCTTTAAATATTTTCTTTTAAAGGACTTACCGTTCCTTAGTCCCCTCCATAAACATTTCCGAGGCCAATTATTTTACATATATAGCACCTCTTCATCAAAAAAACGGAAAAGATGAGCGAGATTTTCCTTCCTTCCTAACTTGTCTCTCTCTTTATTCCCCCCACACTCTCTTTTATTTTTTTACTCTCTCAATACCTCAAATATTCATCCCTACACAACCGTTATATCCCTTCTACCTTTCCTCTTCCTCATTGTTTGCCACCCATTTTTATTTTCCAACTTTCAGTCAGGAAAGAAGATCTTACACACACAGCGGTGCCATCCTTTTCGTTAATGTTTGCGGCAGTACTTATCCTTTTACCTTTTCCTCTCGCGCATCAAAATTTTTTACTTTTTAAGGTTGTTGGGGTATTTTATTTATTTAGTTATGTTGTTTTTCTTTCTTTTTTTTTATTAAATAAAAATATTTAAATAATTATTTTTATTTTTTTTTATTCAAACATTTTATTTAAAAATATTTTTCCTTTCCATCCAATGAGTGAGCGAAGGAAAATTTCTAGGATTGGAGGGAAAGAATAAATCCACAAAGAGGGCCAATAGTAGAAAAGGAGGATGGATTATAAGAAGATAAAAAGTCTTTTTATTGTAGAATTGTCCTTTATTTAAAAAAAATAAAATGAAAAAATAAATTTATTTATTTATTAAAAATTATTAAAGTAACCAAAAAATTATTTTGACTGTTTTTGGGCCTCTATTAAATTATTTTTTCTCATAACCTTTCTTTAATGTACCGCTTCCTTTAAGCGTTTTCCAGCAAAAATCTTCTCAATATACAAAAGAGATATCACTTAAACGGATCTTTTTCTTTCCATCAATCCTCTAACATTTATTATTCTTTCCTACTTATATTTTTGGATATTTTTAAAGTATGAAGTTTTTATTTTTACTTTTAAAATATTTCTTTAATTATAAGGAAATATTTAATGAAAATAAAATAAAGATTAAAATTAAATTGTTATTCTAAAACTAGTTAAATTTTGTGACTTAAATTTTGTAAATTAGTTAAATTTTGTGATTATTTAACAATAAAAAATGTTTCTGAGAATATGTTCAAAAATATATAAAAATTAAAAACATAAATTAAAAAATGAGTAGTAGATAGCATTTCCGCTTTTACAAAAAATATTCCAATGAGAAATAAATTTACTTTTTTCCCTTTTTCTACTCGAATACTTTTAGATAGGAAAAATATTTTTAGAGAGAAAATTTAGTTTTGTCCATTCTGTCCAGTATCAACAAAAATGTTGTTAGGATTGGGTGGTGTGTTCATAGTCCAAGCCAACAGATCCAGGCCATTGATAAGAAAATTGAAAGTAAGGATGGTTGGTAAAGAGAGGAGAGAAATAAAGAGGAAGAAAAAGAGGAGAAAGGTTATTTTTGTACAAATAAATATATATAGAAAGGGAGGGAATGGTCAAGTAAAAGTTTATTACAATCAGAAGAAATAATACTTGGATCATTCTTCTTAATATTTTGTTTTGACCAAAAAATTAAATGACCCTTCCAGTGTTGATGAATATGGGAAGTATTGATAATTTATTTTTAATGGAAATTAATGAGATTTATCTAGGATTTAAATGTTAATACCTACCTATATATATTCCTCTATATTACAAGGTTTACAAGCAGGAATAGAAATTCTGCCCTTCTAATTGTTATTGCTTACTATGTAATTCGCTAATCACATTCAGGTGCCCCAACAATTAATCTACCTAATTTCTTTCTTATTGCCTGAATCATTCTTCCCTAACTTCTCTCCCATCTCTTTTTGTTTTCTAAATTCTATTTTGCTAATTAAATAAATTTTTTAGAAATATTTTAATTGAAAAAGGAAAATTCTTTAATTGGAGGATTAAAAATTAAAGAAGGGAATGGATCAAAATGCTTGTGCCGAATGTGGATATACAACGGCCGATTTAAATGAATTTAATAAACATGTAGAATGGCATGAAGATTTAAAAGAAGGAGAAGAAATATTTGAAACAAATGAAGAAGAAAAGTTATTGAAAGAAATTAAGGAGGAAGAGGAAGGAGAATTTTTAGTAAAAAAGAAAAAAAGAAGACTAAAATTTGAAAATTTAAATGAAAAGGTTTTTTAATAAATTTGAAAAAATTAATTTGGATATATCAAATAAAGATCGGAAAAATAAAAAAATAATTACTATTTAATGTATCACAGGGCAGAATACCCCCAATAAATTTTTACCAGGATAAAAAATATACCATAAAATCAACTACCAAAATTACCCTAGTATTATTAGAGATTGGGTAAATCAAAATTTCTGATTTATCCGATTTTCTATTAAATTTCTAACTTTTTATTAAATTAAAATTTTATTTGAAATGGGGGTAATTAGGTAATTATGCCTGAAATATTCTAAAACCCCTTCACAACTAGACATAAAAACATAAAGTTTTCTACAGTATTTTAACCTAAATATTAAATAAAGTTTATGCCCTCTTTTAAATTTTGCTTTCAGAAAAACTCTAAAAAACAAAAAAAAAAATAAATAAAATTTTTTGTCTTTTTGTTTATTTTGCCCCCTTTTTTGTAAAATTAATTTATACCGCCATTTTATCTCGTTTTTAATCATTCAAAAAAGTTTTTAGTAACCGCCTTTTCTGTCCTGAAGCTTAAAACTTTTTTTTCTATTTTTTATAAAAATAATTATTTTATTTTTTTATTTTTCAGAATTTAACAGAATTAGAAGAAGAAAAGCAACAAAAAATGGAGGAAAGTGACAATTTAAATAATTCAAATAAAATGCTTGGACATTTGGCTGATTTGGGAAGATTTTTAAATGAAGCTGTTGCTGCAACTAATAATACAAATAATTTAATAATTAAAGAAGAAAATGTTGAAAATAATTTAAATATATTTTGTAATAATAATGATAATAATTGTTTTTTACAAGAAGAACAAACAACAAAAAAGTACATTTATTATTAACTTAAATAAAATTTAAAAAAATATTTTTTTAGTAATTTAAATAATAAACAACAAAATGGAGAGGAAGAAGGAATAATAATTAAAAAATCAACAAAAAATAAAAAATTAAATAATAAAAAACAAAACGGGAATGGGGGAGGGGGAGGAGGTAAAACAACACATAAATGCCCCCATTGTACATTTACTACATTTATGTCTCAACATATGAAAAGTCATCTGGTAAATTTAAATTTGGATTAAAAATTAAAATTAAAAATATTTAAAGAGAGCACATGATAATTTTGTTGGTCAGATGTATATTTGTGATCTTTGTGGAATGGCGGTAAATTAATTAATTAATGTGGAGTATTTTAATTAAAATATTTTTATTTAACAAATAATTTTACAAAATAATTTCCCTCTCTCTTTTTCCAGTTTTCTCAAAAAGCAAATATGCATAGACATAGAGGCACACATTCTGGAGTAAGTTTATTTATATTTAAAAATTTTAAATTATTTTTAGATCAAGCCATTTGAATGTAGATTTTGTCAAAAAAAATTTTTTCGAAAAGACCAGGTAAATAAATACTTTAAACTAATTTTTATTTACAATTTAGATGCAAGAACATTCAATGACACATATAAAGACAGGAAATGATTTTGATTGTCCGGTAAAATTAAAAAAATTTTTTGTTTTCAATTTAAGAATCCATTAAAGGTTTCTGGTTGTTCTTTTAAATTTTCCCAACATAATTTACTTAAACAACATCTCGATCAAAAACATGCCATTTCCCCTTCTTTACAGGGACAGTGCAAACTTTGTAATTTGGTAATTAAATATTTTTTGGATATTTTAAAATATTATTATTTTCCCCCAGCAATTTTCAAATGCTCGACGTCTTTTAATGCATTACCAAACAAAACATGAGGAATATGCAAGTAATGATTCACCCGTTCTTGAAGTAATTTAAAATAATTATTTGAATAAATAATTAATTATTTTTAGGGGCAATCGCCGGTGAAAAGATTAAATAATTGTTTAACAAAAACAACATCTCCTTCCTCACCATCAGAATTACCAATAGAAACATCCTCCTCCCTCCAACAACAAAATGATCAAAATTTTTCTTTTCCCTCATCGTCTACCAAAAAAATTGGACGAAAACCAAGGAAAAGGCCAAGATTGTTATTATCCCCTTCGTCCTCAACTACTATAAATTCTTCAATTAAACAACAAATAAATAATAATAATTTAATATTAGATAATAATTTAATTAATTCATCAAATCAATATTCAAATAAAACAGTTAATAATTAATAATTAAATTACTACTAAAGTATACTAACAAGAAGAGGTTGCGAGATGTCCGACCTAAAAACGGTTGAGACCGGGCTCATTCGATAGAGAATGTGCCCTTTCTAGCAAGGATTTTGAGCCGTTTTTGCCCGTTTTTTGATCTGGCCAAGATATGGCCCTCCTAAGTCCCAAAATTTGGCATAATTTTTCCCAATAATTTTCGACCGTTTATCCCTCAATATAAATTTTCGACCCATCTTCGACCGTTTTTAGGTCGGACACCTCACAAACTCTCCTTGTAAGCAATTCTTAATATAAATTTAATTTAAAGAACTGAGACTAACATTTTTTTAAATTACCAAATTCTTTTTGTCAAAATATTTTTTGGAATATTTTAAAAATAAAATTTATTTTTTCAGAAAGTTTTACCAGTCAATGGCTGTATTTCATTTTCCCCCGCAACATTTTCTGATGCCCCTACAACTTCTACGTCTAGCACTTTAAATGGTTATAACGTAGAAGATTTATTAAAATTAGACTGTGGTGGAAGTGATAATAATACAAATACTAGTTATTATTCTTCCCCCTCTTCCTCATCCTTATCTACAAAAGCACAACAAAACCTTCAATTATCAACAATATTTACTTCAACGGTACTTATTATAAGGGATGGGACGGGGAACTCAAAACGCAGACTTTTTTCGACCCTAAACTCCACTCCGAATTTTAGGCTGAATATAAAAGCTTAACTAGTCCCGACCAAAAAAGTCGAACTTTTACCTAAATCACCCCAATAAAAAACAGAATACAAGAACATTTACATAATTTATTTCACAACAATTAACAATACAATTTCATATAATGGCAATACACAAAGGCAAATAATTACATATTAACAGATTTATGGGGAAACAACCAAAGCAATAGCAATATATACATACATTTATGGGAATAAGGGTGGGTATTATCCTGATTTGTCCACATTGAATTTTGTGGCTGTCATCGCTCTTCTCCTTCCTATTTCTTCATGTCCTAGCAGCTCACATGTAGGCCGACTGGTCTCCACGAGGCGGTGGCGGCGCATTGTTGCCAGACGGAGGTGCTGAGCCTGCCTCGAACTCGAACTGGTAGCTGCCGCCACGAGCAGGCTGAAAATAAAAGAAGATTGTTGATGATTAATAAGATTGTTAAAATAGAAATATTAAAACGTACCGCTCCACCACCACCACCATAGCCACCACCACCACCGGACTTCTTGGGCATGGTCCCTGGCGAAGGCATGTAGGCGCTCTGATCTCCCATGACGATTGTTGAACTTGAGCTGGTTGAGAAGAGTTGTAGTTGACTGTAGTTGTGCTGACGGACTGTTGGGAAATGAGTGAAAAGTTGCGTTTTTATAGTAAATTAGTATTCACACACTGTGGCATCCAAGTATAAAAACAAACCTTTCACTCAGTCCGCATCAACTTCGTCGCAACAGATCGTCAATTACAACTCTTCTCTGCCAGCTCAACAATCGTCATGGGAGATCAGAGCGCCTACATGCCTTCGCCAGGGTCTATGCCCAAGAAGCCTTCCGGCGGCTATGGTGGTGGTGGTGGAGCGGTACGTTTTAATATTTCTATTTTAACAATCTTATTAATCATCAACAAATCTTCTTTTATTTTCAGCCTGCTCGTGGCGGCAGCTACCAGTTCGAGTTCGAGGCAGGCTCAGCACCTCCGTCTGGCAACAATGCGCCGCCACCGCCTCGTGGAGACCAGTCGGCCTACATGTGAGCTGCTAGGACGAGGAAAGCTGCGAGACAGGAACCTGAAGAAATAGGAAGGAGAAGAGCGATGACACCATAAGATTCAATGTGGACAAATCTTGATAATACCCACTCCTATTCCCATAAATGTATGTATATATTGCTATTGCTTTGTTTGTTTCCCCCTAAACCTGTTAGTTAATATGTAATTATTTGCCTGTGTGTATTATCATTATATAAAATTGTATTGTTAATTGTTGTGAAATAAATAAATAATGTGTTTATTGTGAATTAATGATTAAACTTGAGTTTATCCAAAAAAGAAAATAACCATTTTAAATCTTTAAATTCCCCCAAAATTTCAAAATTAAATAATTATGTATTTTCTAGCCCTCCCCAAGTCAATGTTCTTCTGGAAATTCAGGATTTGATCTTTTATTTAGAGAATGTTGGCTAAAAACTTTTTCTTCTAACGCTTTGTTAACCCAATTTGGGGGTAAATTACCTACATCTACAAATTCTTTTATTGGAAATAATTCAGGCATTTTGACTCTCTAAAATAAATTAATTTAAATAATTAAATTTTAAAGACCAACTAAAACAAGAAGAAGAAGATTATTCAAAGGAAGATAAAGAACAACAACAAAATAAAGAAGTTAATAGTGCTTCTGCTTTAGCAGCGGCTATGGCTGCAATGGCAGCATCTCTTCAAATGTTTGTTCAAAGTTCTCAACAATTTCAACAAATTGTAAATAAAAAATAAATTGTGAAAAGAGATAAAGAAAATTATTTAGACTTTATTATTTATATATTTAATGTGTTTAATTAAATGTTTATTTAATATGTATGTTTTTGTTTTTAAATATTTTTTATATGAATAAAGTTTTTTTGAAAAATACTAAATTTTAATTCAATTAAATTTATACACATAAGACGTAACATTCAGATAAAATAAAAATTAATTAAAAATTATTCACTTCTTTGAATATTTTTTAGGAAGATAAAGAGCAATAAGTCTAAATAATTAATATTTTTTGAATGTTTTTAAATATGTCCTAAATATAAATTTTGTATACAGTTCTATAACCTTACCATAAAGTCGCTCAATTTAAAAAAATTTTCCACTTAGAAAATTTTTCCACTAGTATCTTTAATACAGTTTAGAACCTAATACATATACCTAATCCCATCATCGAGATCTCAAAACTCGTCAACGGAGAACCTTAGTAAATGTTTTTTAAAAAGTATTTAAAATTTTTTGACATTCTAGGGGTAATAAACTAAAAAATGTTTAATATGGAGCACTGTGTGTTTAGAAATTCGAATAATTATATACATAATTCAAAATATTAAACAATCCTTTTCCAAAAAAAGAAAAATGTAAAAATATCATGCAGTGAGTCAATCATTCAAATATTCATATTTAATTGCGCCGAGATTAGAAATATATTTAGATTGGGGGCGTGAATAAATTATTTAAATATATTTTTAAATTTATATTAAATATATTATTGTAATTATTAGAAAGTATTTTAGAAATATAGAGGTTAATTATTATTTTCAGAGCAAGATACATATTGACTAACAATACATAAATCCCTAAACTCCTTCACATGTAAGTGAATAAATCGCTTAACCAAAAAACCTGGTTTTTCAAAAATATCCTCAATGTTAAATTAAGTTTTTAATTTGGATTTTTTTAAGTTTAAGGGAAGAATTTTTAATAAAAAATTAATTATTATTAAAATATACAAATAAAAATTTATTCTATTTTTATAATTTTTTATTAAATAAGAAAATCTTTTTTCCTCTTTAAAATATTTACTTATTATATTCGGCATATTATATTTTGTGAATTTGAATGCCAACTGTCCATCAATCGCTAAACTAGTCTCTTTTTTCTTATAAATATCCTTCTGCTTTATAATTTTTCTCCTTTTCCTTTTTAAATGTCAAAGAATACAAAATCCCCAACGGTCCCAACAAAAATGCCAAAAATACTTTCCCAAAATATCTCCAATCCTTTTGACCACTACTAAAAGAGTTATTTGAAATGAAAATTGTAGGTCTTGTCTCCCATCTAAAATTTTTAATGAGTGATTTTAATATTTATTTTTTTATTTATTGCTGATATTTATTTAAATATTTTAAAAATTGCACTTATCGAATTGCTTTATTAACCTTGAACTAACATGTACTTATCGAGTTGTAACTTTTTAATGGGCTATCAGACTTGGTCCATCCAGTTGGGAAAAGGTTTAGATTAAGGAGAGCTTTGAGATGGTATAAGAATTATTTGGATTGGATCAAGCATAAAAAGGTTAGTCGATCAAATTATAAACAAAAGAAAATGGGGACGGATAACTTTTTATTTTAAATTTATTTTAATTTTCAAAATTAAATCTTTAAAAATTGTATACATTGAATATTTAATTACTTAATTATTATATTTTATTTAAAAATAAAAGTGTTGCCGCTTTTATTCTTTTCAATAACCAAGCCCCCTTACATTCAATGGCCATTCAAACGCTCTCTTCACTCAAATCTCGCCTCGACTAATTTATTCACTGACCCTTTAAATTTATAGTTTCATTTTGCTTTGCTTTATCTTTTATTTTTTAAATTATTTCTAACCAAATAAAAATATTTTTTAAATATTTCCAGAATTTACAGTAATTTAATTATTTTATATATCCATTTCGCTAAAGGAAGAATGTTATTTTAAATATTTATTTATTAACTTCCTCCCCTGCTGTGCGCGAATTAAACACAATCCTTTTATAAATACATACAGTATTTTTCACACAATTTAGATTTTAAAAAATTTTATAAAAATATAAAAATCTAATGACAAATTTAGAAAAATCTAAAATTCTGTGATGAGCAACAGAAAATGCTTCTTCTAGTTCACTTGGAAATTTTTAAAAGACTCCTATAAAAATGTAGATTTATTAAAGGTGGAGAGAAAAGATCCTCTAAGAAAATTTTTAATTAGGTGGATGTACTCGTTTTGACGTCCACCTAAATGTCCACGTCGTTCTCACTTTAACGTTAAATTTTTCTACAAAAGACTTCAACAATTAAGGTTCAACAGCAATATTTAAAAAGTTATTTTTACTTTATTTTTGTAAAAAATCTCTCGCTTTTTTAAATTTATATTTATTTTCCCTCCCTTCCCCGCATCCATCATTTGTCCAAAAAAGACTTTTGTTGGCACTTGTTTTCTTTAAAACACCCATTTTTTCATTCAAGAAGTTTGGAAAATGTGAGGCCATAGATGAAAAATGGGGCTCTATAAATAATCCTTTCCCTCTTCCCTCCAATTTTTCTTTTCCCTTATTTTCTTGAGCAGTTGTTGGTTAACTGAATTTTAGAAGATCCGGCTGACAAAAAATATATAAATTCTTTTAAATACCAATTGATATTGTCTTTATTTACACCTTTTTAGATTTATTAAAAGTACTTTAATTAACTTGGTTTTTTTCTGTATAATTTATATATATATAATATTATATATATAATTTATATATATACTTGTTTTATTTGTTAACCTGAAATAATCTAGAAAATAATTAAAATTTTTACTATATCTAAATATAAATTAAATTATAGGAAAAACAAAGTCTAGCTATTTACTAAACTTTGTTTTCTAATTAAATAGACAATTTAAATTTACATTAAAATTTTTTATAAAAGTTTATTTTAATAATTAAAAAAAATATCTCAGGAAATAACATTTAATTTTAATTTTAATTATTTAATTCTAAAATTTAATTTAGTGTCAAATTTTTAATTTAAAATTTATTAATTCTCCCCTTTTGTTAAAAAGTGTTTATTTAAATTATTATTTTTCTTTTAATTTTTATTATTTATTTTTGCCATAAATAATCCAAAAACATTGATTTGTGCCCTTCATCATCCTCCCCAAAGCTTCTTACTTCTCTTATTTTCCTTTCTTCCCATTTTTTCTCCAACCAATCCGTCAATTCCCCTCAAATATATCCCTCCATCCCCCCTCCCCTTTCCCCCTTCTAAATATTACAAAGTCAGAAATATTAAGAGAATCTTTTGGCCTTCCTTTCCTTCTTCTTCTTCTTTATTTCTTCCCCTTTACTCTTCATCTCTTCATTTCTTCAATCCAATCCATCTTCCGAATTTGGAGAAGAAAAAAGTAGAGGGGAGGGAGGGGGGGTAGGGAATACTACATAGAAAAGTGTAAGTATAAGTAAGCCTTTTTACTTATATTTCTTTATTTTAGATTATCAACTAACTAACTTTTTCCTTATATTCTTCCAAAAAATTTTTCTAGAATCAAAACTTTTTTCTTCCATTAATCTTCATGTCACAGTTTTTGCCAACAGTAAATATTATCTACCTAAAAACTTTTATAATGCCAAACAAAAACAGCAAAAAAAATTTTTTTATAAAATTTGTTAAGAAAAATAAGCAGCCGTTCCCTCGGGTCTTTGAAAGATTTCTTTTTCTTTTTTCAATCTTTTCTAGACAGAATAGTACATTTTTTTCAATTTTTGTTTTTCTTTTTTATTTTTTAAAATTATTTATAATATTAAAAAAAAATTTTTTAATTAAAAATCGTTGTGAACAGTTAAAAATAAATCAATTGTGAACTATTTTTAAATTAATTATTTTTTTTATTTTTTGAAATATCCACCCCCTTCTCCCCCCCCCCCCCCTTTATCCATCAAACCATTAAAACAATAAATTTTTTCGCCCCCGCAGAGAAAATAATTTTATTTATTTGTAGTTATTTTCTTCGAAAAGTTTTGCAACATTTTAATTACTTTTTCAATTAAATAATAAGCAGCTTCCCCTTTTTTATTTTTGGCAATTTATTTTTCCTCTCACTTTCATTATTTGGCCAATAAAATTTTAAGTGTAAAAGAATGAAGGAGGAAGAAGGGGGAAGGGGGGAAGATGCCGCAAAATTTATTGCTTCGGCGATTTATTACCTTCTTTCTTTTAAATAAAAAACAATTATAATTAAATATTTTTTAGTAATTTGTTTTTGTTGTTTTTGTTTTAATATTTACTAGTTGCTAATTAATTTTAAAAAACAATTAATAATTTATTTAATTTACAAAATAAATTAATTTAAAAAATAAAAGATAATTGAATATGTAAATAATTATTTTTAAATTGATAACCAGAAAATAAGAATAAATAAAAAATATTATTCAAAAAATTATTTAATATTTATTTATGTCAATCATTTATTTTTACTTTTTCATTTTTTTTTGTTTTCCATGTTTTATTCTACCCCCTTTTCAATTATTCTTATCAGACCAAAACATTATAATAAATAGTACCTCAATCTCCCTTTTAAACTATAAAAATATATATTTGTTTTTATCCATTCTTTTGCTTAAATAAAAGTTTTTTTGGTTACTATTTAGTTTATTTGTTTATTATTTAACAATTAATTAATTATTAAATAAACAAATAACCACCATATTTATAATCTTGCTTCACTCATTTAGGAAGAAAAAAAAGCTTTTTTTTATTAAAAATAAGTAAAAGATTTATTTATTTTCTGATAATAATATTAATGATTGACAACTAAAAAATAAATAAATAGTATTTAGTATTTTTAGTGGAATAGAAATTGTTAAATAAATAACCATTAAATATTATTTTAATTGTAAATCCTTTGAATGAGAAGACTATTTTTGAGACTGTTTTATTTTACTTTCTCAAAATTCAAACAAAATTTTTCTTAATTTGAAACAGATTTTTAAAAATTAATCTCGAAATTGTAAATCATTTAACTGTTTTGGGCCAAACAGTTTTTTACTTAAAACTTTAAATCTTTAAAAATTATTCGTCAAAAGTTTAATGAGTATCTCAATATTATGTTTAACTGAGATATATTTGGATAAAGAAAAGCCTGCAGATAAGCCAATATAGTATCTGGCTAAATTAAATTTTTCGCGAAATCTATTAAAATATTTTTATTTTTTATAGCTTTAAAAAAATTTTTTAAATATTTTTTAAATTAATTTTTAATATTTTTAGAAAAATGTATTTTTATTATTTAAATTTAATTAATTATTTTTTAATTAATTTTTTAATTTTATTTTATTATAATGAAAGAAAATTAATTTCTTTTGCTTTTTTGACCGAACCTAAACTTGGTTAGAAATTTTCTTATTTTAAAATTTCTTAACTATTTAATTTCTTTTTTAAAGTTTATGTTGACGGTTCTCAACCTTGGGATAATTGTAGGCCTGGATTGAAAAGATCTTTAATTTCTTTGACTGGTATTAAATAAACAAAGGATTTTTAACTTTAATTAATTAAAGGTTTACTTCTTTCACATCCTTTTTATGGGTCTCTTCCATATAATGCTAGTAGAAATTGTTTCCTTACAATTGCTGTTCCAGTTGGATATCGTGTTAGGCTAAAAGTAATAAATAAATTTTAATTTTTAAAAATTAATTTGTTTAAATTTAGGCACTCGATTTTGATGTTCAAGGGCAATGGGGAAAATGTGAAAGGGAGGATACATTGTTAGATTTAAATAAATATACAGTTAAAACCTCGATATTGCGAATGAACCGAAGGAAAACTTCGTGTTTTCGAAAGTTTTAAAAAGTTTATTATCTCGAAGGGTAACTATATCGAATTTGATTGTATTCTAAAATATTTAATTAAATATATATATTTATTCTAATAAAAGCCCACTTTCTCTAATAATAATATTCCATTTATTTAAAGACATATATTCGATCATAACCAACAACTCGAACCAGAAACACTTACTGCCAATGAACAACTCCCGATTGGTGGCCATTCCCCCGGAAGGCTTTTGGGGGAATTTTGTGGTAAAATTGAAACAGATTTAACAAAAAGTAAAAATAATTAATTAATTAATTAAAAATAAATTTTAAATTTAGCTGATCCTTCTTCTTCATTAAATCAACGTTCAATTTTAGCCGAATCCTCCCAAAATGCTTTAACACTTTGGTGGCACACAGAAGATTTACAAAATGTTTAAATAAATATTTTGTTTAAATTTAAATTTATTTTTAGTTAAATAATCAAAAACAAACAACTCCCCTCAGTACTTTAACTAGTAAATCAATTAATTTACGAACAAATTCACAAGGATTTAGATTACTTTGGTTTGATAAATAATAATAACAAATTATTTAAAATTTAAAGGTCATCATTTCGTTACACAAATTCTTCTTCTGAAAAATGTCGAACAATTAATTCCAAATCTTCCCAACAAAATAATTCTTCAAATTTATTATTAAATGAATTTAAATGTAAAAAGTAATTTAAATTTAAAATAATTTAAATTAAATTTAATTAAAATAAATTTAAATATATTCAGAACATTAAATTCTCAAAAAATAGAAGAATGTATTCCAACACAATTGGGGTGTAATTCTTATGCAGATTGTTTAGATGGAAGTGATTTAGATGCCCAATTACAATTAAAACATGGATGTGAACGTTAGAGAGAGATTTATTTGAATTTTTAGCTTTAATAAACTTTTAAATTACAAAAAACTTTCTTTACACAGTCCGGACACCTACATAGTATTTTACATAGATCCTTGGAATAAAAATAGTTTATGTAAAATTGAGGTGTATCTAAATTTAGAGGTATCGCTTAGGTAGCCCCCTCATCCATCAATAAAAAATCAAATTAGAGGATATACAACCTTTACTTATTTATTTTTCCTTAAGTGAATCTTTAGGAGTATTTAGAGAAAGATATTCGTTAAATTAATTTAAAAATTAAAATTTTTTTATTTCTTTAAAGATATTCCAAACATTCCACTCAGCGTTTTAATTAGCTCCGGACCTAAACGTTTATTACTTTGTGCTGCTTTATTGCTACTTTGGTTGAGTTTATGTTTAGGCTGTTGTTGTTGTTATGTATGTTGGTTTTTTTGAAAATTAAAAATATTTTCTAAAAACTCTTTTTTGTAAAATTTTGAATTTTGATTTGACGAATTTGAAAGTTTTGTTATTTCGGTGGGATCGTTAATTATAAGTAGAGACCGGACTGGGAGTGTCCTACGAGAATCGAGATCTCGAAAAATTTTCGATATAACCGAGATTTTCGTCCGAGATTTCGTCTCTGTTAATTATAAGCTTCATTCTAATGAGATTTGACTACACTGCGGTGCATATGTTTATGCACACTAGTTTTTTGTTCATAATTTTATGCAATCTTATTCAAAAAATACGTTCTATATAGCAATCGAAAGCTCTATTTGTATCTCAGTTGACATGTTTCTGCATTTTCCATGAAAATGAAAATTGGCCGAGATAATCCGGATCTACCGGATATACCAAATCCCATATCCTCGGAAAAATTTTTCGGAAAAAATTTAACAAACCCATTTGATAAAGCATATTTTTGTGAGTATTTTCCACAAAACCGCTTAAAAATATCTTTTTCCGGAACGGAGATATCATTTTTTGAAAATCGAAAAAAAGCGATTTTTTGACGAAAAATGGCAAAAATATGGTATTTTTTCGATTTTCAAAAATTCATAACTCGGTCGAATCTCGACCGATTTGGATGATTTTTTTGTATTATATGTAGAATCTAGAGGAGAATCACATATATTTTTTACAGACCTCAAAAAAATTTCTTCGAAAAGTTGAAAATGTAGTACCTGTTAGAACGGTCGAAAAGTTTTCGAAAATGTCAGAATTTCGAAAAATGCAGAAACATGTCAACTGAGATACAAATAGAGCTTTCGATTGCCATATAGAACATATTTTTTGAATAAGTGTGCATAAACTTATGAACAAAAAACTAGTGTGCATAAACATATGCACCGCAGTGTATATTATGTTTAAAAAAATATTTATTTTTAAAGATTAGTTATCGAAGAAAAAGATTAAAAAAGAAACGTTCTTCAACAAATAGCAGCAGTAATGATGGTGATTGTGATTTTACAGCTCGTAAACAACAATTAAATAATGAAAGGGGAAATTTATTTTATGTAAAATAAATAAATTATTTTTAATTAAAAAAATATTTTTTTAAAGTCATTTAATGGAAATATTCAACGACAAAATAATGGGGATTTAATACCTACAAGTCAACCCCCACCACCCCCTCTTTTACCACCACCAAGTTTCTCCCCTCCAACATTAAAAAATAATAAATTACTCCAAACAAATTTTGTAACTCAACAACCTTTTGGGTTGGTTTTTTTAATTTTTTTTATCAAAAAAAATTTTTCCTTAAAAATTTTCAGAGGATTTATAAATCCCTCAAATACTTCCAATTTACAAGAAAATAAAAAATTAAAAAGATCTTCAAAACAACAAACAAATTCTTGTTCTTCCAATTCCCAATCTTCTTCACAAAAACACCAACAACAACTAAATAATCCCCCTTCTATATCCTCATTCGAAAACCAACAAAATTTAAAACAAAAATGTCAAAATGTTTCTACACAACAACAAATGTATTTTCAACATTTTAATGACACAAATAAATTAAATGGTTATTTAAAATATTTTTTATTAAAATTTTTAATTTTTAATAAAATCTCGAAGTCATTTTTTAAATTAATTTTAGAATCCTCTAAAAAATTAATCAAGTGATAAAATATTTTTTAAAAAATTAAATTTTAAGGAATTAATTGTGATGATGGTAATTATTTATATTTAAAAGAGCCAATGACACCATTAATTACTAGAGGAAAACAGCAAACAATGGAAGGGCAAAATAGACATTTAATTATTTAATTTTTTAGATATTTAAATATTTTTATATTAGAAAAAATTTTTTTATTAAATGAAAATAAATGAATCTCATTATTTTTTAATTGAAAAAATTTTTGGAAAATTTTATTGAAAAATTAATTTAAATTTTTACAAATAATTTCAAATAATTGAGAAAATGGAATTAAAAAACAAATAAATATTTCATTGACAGAAATTAAGGAACTCTTGTTGGTAAAATTTGGTTCGTGAATATTTCATAATTCAAATCCGAAAAAAATAGTGTTACGACTAGAGACCGGACTTGAGTGATCGATCGATAATATCGGTACCGAAAAATATCGAATACCGAAAAATATCGAAAATCAAAAAATTTATCGATCGGTATCGGTATGGAAAAATATCGTCGATATTTTTTCCCGACGGGGGAAGTTGTATCGTTCGATAATATCGGTATCGTTTATCGATAATATCGACATCGATACATATATCGATATTTTTATCGATATATCGTATCGGTCCGATCTCTAGTTACGACGATTGTGGACAATTCTGGATTTTACATTGTGGGTTTAAAATTTTTAAAAAACTGAGCGAAAAAGAAAAAATGGGGAGAGGGGGGGTCTAAACCACTTTTACCAAAATTCGTTTTCTTTACAAAAACTTTAAAAAAAATTAATGGGAAATTAAAAATTAATTTAAAAATAATTTTTATTTACTTTCATCGGCATATTCCTTAATGATTTCCCCATAAACCATTCATATATTCAGCTACTTCATAGACTGTAAATGCATTTGGTCTTTCATTCATAGTTGGACGCATACAGGATTCAATTAAAGATTCAAGATGAGGAGTATAGCGGTCATCGGGTAAAGGCGGGTAATCCGCAGTTTGTATTTTTTGTATCAAGGATTGAACATTATCCTTTTCACCAAAAAATGGTGATTTTGTTGCTGCCATCTGGTTTAATTTAAAGATATTTTTAATAATATTTTAGTAAAAAAAATCCCCCGATGCAACTTCAAACTCTTAAATCCACCTATGTTTACGGAAGAGGGATATCGAAGGAGTTTGGGGGACGGGGCATTTAAGGAGCATTTTTTCGCAAATTGCAGATTCAAATCCGAGGGATTAATGCAACTAATCCACCTAAATCCCTATTAGTGCCTCTTAATATTTTAATACAAGATGCGCCGCAGGCGAAAATTTCGAAAATTTTGGAAGAACATCAAGCCAGATTTCCTTTTTTTTTAATTTATCAAAAATTATTCAAAAAAAAATACCTCATACAAAATACAACCCAAAGACCAAATATCAGAAGCAAAAGTATATGGTTCCTCAATAATTCGTTCAGGTGACATATAATAAGGAGTACCACAAACTGTTTGTGCCTGACATCCAACAGCTAAATTTAAACGAGAAAGACCAAAATCAGCCAATTTAACAATTCCATTATCCGTCAAAAGAACATTTGGAGGTTTTAAATCTCGATGAATAATTTTTTTTGAATGAATATATTTAACAGCTCCAGCAATTTGACCAAAAAGAAACCAAATTTCACTTTCATGCAAAAGGTATGAGTAGGAAGTTGCACGCTTTAAATTTTTAAGCCAAAATTTTTATTAAAATTTTAAGTTAAGAGTTTTTTATATGTATATAAACTAAAAAAATTTAAGTGATCATTTTTCAAATGAGGAATTTTCAATTTATTGTACAGGCAAGGTGAAATATGAAAAATGTGAGATACAAATCCCCTTCACTTTGTTATATTTTCTCTGAGTGAAAACAATTAAAGGCCTGGTAAAACTTATGTTCGTATGACGCATTTTTCTCTTTTTTCATTTCCCAAGAAAAAATAGAGAAGTGCTCATTTAATAATTTTGAAATGTGTCAGTAGGTAATAAATGAACTGAATCTAAATTTTAGTGAAAATTTTATTTTTTCTAAATCTGGACCCAGATTCAAGTTTGAAGAACGTGTCAATTTAGCCATTTTAATTCAAAATATCGAAAAATTTTCCTTTTATTCCCCATTTTTTCTAGAGAAATGAAAGAAATGCGTAATACAAACCGAGATTTTACCCAAGTTTTTTTTAATTACCTGAATCCAAGTTTGAAGATCACCGCCATTAACGTATTCCAAAACAAGAACGAGGTACTTATTTTGCTAAAAAATAATGGGTATACTAATTTCGTAATACTAAACAGACTCCGATTTTCCCCGCGAGGCGCGTGTCGCAAAACATCCGCGCGAAGCGCGGAGTTTTGCACAAGCGCCTCGCCGACGCCCCATAGGTTTACGTTGCTTGTTTTTTCTGTCATAACTTCGAAAAACTTAACCAATCACGGCGATTTTGGTGTCATTCGACTCAGCTTGACTGTGCTCTTTCAAATGAGCTATTATTTGCATTTTCGGATTTTTCACCCCAAAAAAG